ACTGTGACATACCTTGCACGCGTGCACGATCCGGCATAAGATGAACGCAAACACGCCCGTCGTGTGAACATCCATCGGACCGCCATAGCGATCGCCTCCGACCTCTGTGTGGGACTTCGGGGGCCTCCGCGCGCCGTGCGCGCTTGACAATGCTGCATGTTCCGAGACGGGTGGCCGAGTGGACATGAATGACCGCGGAAAGTAACGAGTGACAAGGTCAAGGAATGACGACGAGTCGGTGAAAGTCGAAGGGCAAGGGCAGGTGTTGGTGAAATCGGAGGGTAGTGGAATGTGTGGCGAGCGCTCACGGGCGTCGAGAAATTGAATTGAGATTCTGCGCAGATGGTCGGATGCCGTCAGTTCTGGAAAAACTCGGCGAGTGAGAATCGTTTCGACCCACTATGTATGCGCATAGAGGCATCCTTGGCAGTCCGATACAGTTGCAAGGCCGATGCATTATGCCAGGTGCTATTCTGAGTCCACCTCCGTGATCCCGTCGTCAGTCCAGCTTGTCGAGGAATTTCCACGTTCCTAGAGGCGGCGAAACTGCCCGTCCTTCCTAGTATGTAGGGCGGTGCAATCCTTGACCGGACTTCCCAGCCTTGTCGACTTGGTATATGGAGGACGTTGTGATTGCTTCAGCGATCGCCCACTGCCAGAGCGACTGCTGCTCTTCGTGAACACGCCGCACAATACAAATGCTTGACATATGGGCACACGGAACACCATTGCATAGAGCCGCGCGCGAGTTCACCGCGCGATCGTAAGATACAACGGATTAGTTGGATATGCCAGGGGAGCATGACCCTGATCAACAGCATATCGCACAGCATCCGCACCTCAATGACCGGACCCGTTGGATGCTGTTCTGCCGTGGTAGTTCGCATGCAAGCGTCTAGAGGTTCACCAACTTGTGTCAGAACAACGAGATGTTCCATCCGTAAACCGCGAAGGCACGTACTTCATAACGGGCGGCATGATGTTACCCAGGATCACACACATGGCGTACACGACAAGGTCTAACAAGTCAACGGGGACCTTGGGAACTTCAAGGAACGCGCCCGGGAGGATGAGGAGGAGCGTGGGGACAGTAGTGAAGACCCTGGTGGCGATGGACGAGTACGTGAGCCACGCCGTGATATATACAAAGCGGGAAAACGACGAACCAGAAGCGCAATTCGAGAGGCTGATTGTTCTCTGAGAGTGTGACCAAGCCCTCCTTGGTGGCCTCCTCCTCCCTCCCGTCTGAGAACAAAGGCTCAGCTTGAGAGTCGATTACGTTGTCCTCGAGCAAGAGAAGATCCTTCTCATCCGTGCCTATGTCTTCTGGGCCGTTGCCCTGCTCCATGTCGTCCGATACGTTCCCCGACGGATCCGGAGCCTCGGTTGCCTTCCGGTACATCGCGTACATCGCGTGGAGGTATACAACCAATACGTCTACACCATAGGAGATGTTGCCAGAGTGAGCCAGTTGGTTGAGGGCAGAGTGTAGAAGAAATTCGTACAGCAAACTTAGCGAGTCATCCAGGATTATGATTACGATTCAATAAAACCGAGACAATAGCCTCACCGAGCAAACCAGCTCACCGGGTAACCACTGCCAGGTGCATAGTCAGAAAAGCAGAGTCGGACAGCACGATGAGCATGTGAGACTCACCCCATGCACTGATGCAATTCGCAGGGCAGATACCGCGAAAGCACTGGACGTGAACAACCACCTAGACAGCACGTAGGGAGCGAATGTATCCAGCCATTGTATGTACTTCTGCTGTACCCGCGCACGAAAGCCTAGTGGCGCTTCCGACTCCAGGGCAATCGGTTGAGAGGACATCGCACGTCGAGACTTTATGAGACTACTGAATGTTAAACGAGTGGAAGGTGAGGGACGAGGGAAGAGTATGTGAGTCGAAGGAGAAGACGTACGATGATATGGCAGACGGCCTTTATCAAGGATTTCATCAATTGCTTGCGGAGGCTTGCGGGCACGGTAACGTACATGTGCACAGGTTTGGGCGCATGCGGATATGAATAGTCGCTTCCTCGAGGTAAGCTTCATGGATTTCCTCAGCGAACGTTCTGAGCGTTATTTTGGCGATATAAGGTTCAGTTATCTGAGTATCTTGGTATCGGGATGTGTGATTGAGCGAGCGACGTTGCCCTCTTCATGAGGGCATGAATTGCATGACGTTTAAGCGCAGCGCCTGCGTGAAGTGGGCTGCAGGGTCATACGACGCGACATTTGAATGGGTACGACGAACGACCTACCACAGTCCGCCCGGATTTGGATGAGGCGTCGACAACTCGGGCGGTTGCCTTGCATTGAATGAAGAGCAGGTATAAGCACAAAGCTCTTCGTACAGACACAAGCGACTGTGCATTATATGGAGGGAATAGGACATCGCGGTAAAATAGGCGTCGCAAATCGTTCTATGTCATAGCAAACACAACTCGACCTGGACGGATGTCAGCTAGGACTACAAGTCATGAGCAGGGAGGATTCACCTCATATCCTACCACTTGAGCATCCAGTCCCCCCTTCACCTGTGCGAGCCACCATAGCGGACCTTGCGGCCAATATCGAAAGGCACGTACTTGTACTTGATCATGTGTCTGTAGAGTACGACGGATGTCAACATAGGTATTCCACGAGGGCTATCACGGCCCGGTTGAGAGAAATTGACGTACTGTATTTGACGGCGCATGGTAAGGAGGAAGAGGACGAAGAAGTACACGACGAGGATGGGCCAGTACACGGGGACGTCGAACGCTTCAAAGAAGGTGCAGAAGAATGCGATCACGGTAGCCCGAGTTGCAGATAGCCTGTTTCGGGCAGTCAAGACAGGTTCGGGGGATATGATCGTCATGTAGGACTCACCAAAACTGCCACTCTGGCAACCGCCTGACGAACGGACGGAACTCGTCATCTCTCTGCGATGGCAACGGCGACGACGTGTCCTCCCCGCCTTCCTCAATCTCATCTGCCATTAGGTCATCTTGAAGTGAAGGGTCGAAACGGGGTTGGAGGAAGGCAAGGAAGAGGTTCAGGATGTAGATAGCGTGTGCATCTTGAATGCGGAGCGGTCAGCTTCGAGTACGAGACGAGACGGGTGATGAACATTCAACATACAGCATACTGCGTGATTACTGTCAGCATATGTACACACGGTAGCATGGATGGAATGACGCACCGATAAACCACTAATTGCCCGGCGTTCACGAGGCGCGTCAAGTTACCGATCAGAGTTGAGGCAGCGGTTTGATTTACTCGATCACAACTCACCCCTTGCGCAAACACAATCCTCAACATGAAGACTGCGAGGAGACCCGCGGTAGATAGCCACCGGTAGAGGACGAACGGAGTGACCCTGTCCAGCCATTGCTGGTATTGGCGCTGCGCTTTGGCGTAGTGCGCGAGGAGAGGCTGGAGCGGTCCTGCCGAAGTCTCGTTGTCTGATGCGGACATCATTTTGCGGGTCGCTCGTCGTCGTAGAAGGGCGAGGCGGCGAGGACAGAGGGAGGAAGGAGGAGGGCAACGTGTACGAGTACAGAACAGGGCGCGACACCGTGGCGGCGAAAGGCTTCCAACTCTCCTCTTCGGCATCTCCCGCAAGGCGCAGTCGGTAGTCGGGCCGGTGCATCCGCCGCACCGCGTATTGAGTCCTGGTCCACGCGCTGAGATCATTCGCTCGCCCTTCGACTTGTTCATCTACCACGGCAGCACAGAGAGCAGAATCCATGGCAATGGCGTCCACAGTATGCTCAAATTCAAAAAAGCTGACTGAACGCTGATTTACCACCATGTGCGGACGTACTAGGCAACTCCCGTTCCGCTGCCTGAGGCGATCCCACACATGAGCTCGCACATACTCGCGCAGCTCGATGAGCATCGAGCACAGCATGCTGGACAGCGTTCCACAGGAGAAGCAACACCCCCGCTGATTGTGGGTGTTCAGGGCCCTCAAGGCAGCGGAAAGACTTTCCTCACATCCATCCTCCGAGATACTCTACAAGCCGCGCCCCATCACCTCTCAGTTGCCGTCCTATCGCTAGACGACCTCTACCTTCCCCACGAGGGCCTAGTTGCCCTTGCACAAGCCCACCCCGAGAACCCACTCCTCAAAGGGCGAGGACAGCCAGGGACGCACGACGTCCCGCTGGGGACAGGGGTTCTAAACAAGCTTAAGCAAATCAATGTCCCCTCCACAGAGGAGCCCAGTGTCGAGCTTCCGAGCTTCGACAAGAGCCTCTTTAATGGCGAAGGAGACCGCGCGCCGGGAGCATTGGTCCGACCTCCTGTCGACGTCGTGCTCTTCGAGGGGTGGTGCGTCGGCTTCTACCCGATACCCCGCGAGGAGGTCGAGCGCAGATGGGCGCGACCTCTTCTTGGACTGGAAGATAATTTTCTTGAAAAGCGCGGGTACAAGATAGAGAACGTCTTCGAGATCAATGAACGGCTTCGGGACTATGTTTCCTGGTGGGACCTGTTCGACGCTTTCATACAGGCATGTTGCTCCAGACACAGAGCAAGGGCTACTATTGATCATGCATGAATTTTAGCTCAAGCCACCGAAGGATCATCCCTACGACTTCATCTATAGATGGCGCCTGCAACAAGAACACCATATGAAGCAGCGTAACGGTGGCAAAGGGATGACTGATGAGCAAGTAGAGAGGTCAGCCATTGACATCGCGCAACTATAGCCGGCTAAGCTAATTAGACACTGATACTCATGTGTACAGGTTCGTCGACCGTTATATTCCAGGGTACGTCTTCTTCGGTGACGGAGTTACAGAAGGCTGCGAGGAAGCCTCTGGGCGACGAAAGCTCCCTCCGTGGACAGGCAGAGCATTGCGGGTAGTCATTGGAGAGAGTAGGGAGTTTAACGCGACTGAGACGTTTTAGCGGACTGATGTAGTATGAACGCAATGGAGCCCGAGGCTCTGCTGCTAATTTGCAGCTGCAGTCACTTGCATGTCGTGCCACCGTCAAAACGCTGCCCTTCCCATTAGCCGACTTGAACGACTGACCTCCTCATTGCAAGTGATGCGCTCTACCAACTGAGCTAAACAGGAGGTGCCATCGATGTCCATCGAGATGTCCCAGAGCACTACCAGAGCACTGCCTAGTAGCACTGCAGTGCGTACGGCGGAGGAGCGGCCGCTGCCTTTTTGGGCCCAGCACATCTGAGCGCTTGAGTCATTTAATCGGACCGTACTGCACCGCTTGACTTTTGACATCGACCTTCACCTCAGATCTCTCCTTGGACTCAGCTTGTTCTCTCTCAACACTACTAGGGGATCAGCATCATGGCACTTATTGAAGTAAGTAGGCATGCTCTCAGGTAAAATACGGTTGCTTGACTGGTACTGCCCCTGCCACTGCTGGTCTCGCTTGACCAACTTTGTCGCCCATCCGACTACATGAATCGCATATGCATCGTTAGGTCATTGCAAACGACCGTCTTGGGCGCAAAGGTGTGCTTTGCTAGGGTCTAAGCCTCAATAATTGCTGACAAGTCATCCCATCTCTATGCGTCCATAGTGCGAGTGAAGTGCAGTCCCGAAGACACCGTCGGCGACCTCAAGAAGCTCATTGCGGCCCAGACGGGTACAGATCACACCAAGATCGTGCTCAAGAAATGGTCAGTCAGCCCTCCTGGCTGCTCTCACCCTCGGATATGTACCTCACTGCTCACCTGCGGTCATCGATGTAGGTACACGATCTACAAGGATCACATCACCCTCGCGGACTATGAGATTCACGATGGGATGAGTCTCGAGATGTATTAGTCTGCTCCTCTTACCGCCCGCCCGGCCCCACGACGCTTGCCACGGCAAAGGCCATCTCGTGTTCTGGCGCACTGCTGCTCTGACTGATCGTCCTCGGATGTCTCGAATGCCCGATGCTGTTGTAACTGCGATGTACGAATAGAGCCTCCCATTTGCTTTCGCTCTGCACAGAACAGGACATAGCTGGTTCTGGCGACAGCCGATTCACCGACCACTGCGGACGCGCTGCCAGCGAGGAGCGCAAGCACGCAACCTGGGCGCTGAGCAGTGACGGGCTGCTCGATCAGCCTCTCCACAACCGGCAGCCCGACTTGTCGAGTGCCTTCTTGACCTTCGATTCTCTCCGATTCGGCGCGAGTGCCAGGCACGTCGGGACATTCTCCGGCTGCTCGACCCAGAGGTGGTAGGGAACGGAGGGATCGCCCGCGGACAAGAGGCTCGCGAGCCGTTCTATGCTCGCCTGGTCTGCGGTCTAATGGAGACGTCTTAGAACCCCAGATGGACATTGGCCAAGGACTGATACTGACCTGCATTACCACCTGGTCCACGATTGAGAAGCCGCAAGGACGTTGGTTGCGCTGGATGAGCTTTGAGATATGGCGGAACCTCGGAGAGAGCTAACCTTCCGCATATTCTTCAGATCTTCTAAGTATGTCTGCGTCTCGGGACGCTCCCGAGTCTCATGCAGCACCTAGAAAGAGTTCGCGATGTCGGATCACGTAAGAGTCAGGGACATGAAGAATGATCGAGAGTATTGGGTTGACTAACGGCTGAGGTTGCGTGTGCCACTTGGGCCATGAGCGGGCCTACTCCCCAGCCCTCCACCTAATCTAGTAGATGGATGAGGCAGGAGGAAGTGTGTTTTGCACCGTTTGCAATCGCAAACATTTGCCATGCATGGTTTGAGAGTGTCCCGGTAAATGTGAGCTCAAGCGCAGCGGTCGAGAGTCGGATACAACGTCACGAACGTCAAGAAGGTCCTTACGGACGATGATCTGTATGACCAAAGGTTGCTGTGTGGGCCCGGGCGCAACAGCGTCCATGGATGCGTCTGCCATTCGGTATGTGTGTAGAGTGCGGAAAGCCTACGCAAAGGTCAGGTCCGTGAACATTTGCAGGTCGAAGAATTAGGGAGTAAAATGCTTGCCTGCCGTGTTCCGAACTCCGAAGCTCTCAGCCTCGCGAGAGCGATGAGCTGCAAAGGTGATGATGGAGGAATCTCGGTAGCTGATACTGAATCTGTGATAGTAGCTTCTTGGAGAGCAGCCTGAACAAGTGGTCGAGATACAACATGGTGAGATTCAAGTAACTTTGAGTTGTTGTCGAAAGGACCGGAAGTCGTCCCGACGACCGGGTCCGGTCAAGTTCGCACGCATTTAGATGACATCGAAAGATGTGCACAACAGTGTGCCATGCACAGATCCTTGAATTGTATAGGTATGCTCCAATACGTACGTACGTAAGAGACACCATATAAATTGGGGGATGAGGGAGGGGAGGGGGGATGGGACAAGAGGTTGGTACGTAACATGGGCGAAGCACAGCCAGGAATCACGACAGATAACAGGTTAGAATACTACAACCGACGCAGGATATCTACGGTTCGTCCGCGAGGCAGTCAACAACACACTTATTCTCTCCACCCGACGCGGTCTGGTTGGAGGGGCCCTGTGGGGCCTACGACTATGCAGAGATGGGCACGGTCGGCGATGGATCGTCCTTCTTGCCTGCTTGGGCCTGCGCAATCGCCTTCTGCGCCTCCATCTTTTGCGCCTCCATCTCCTTGACCTTCTTCTCGAGCTCTGCAGCGCTCGTCGGCGTGCCATCCGGACGCTTCCAGGTGACGCTCTTATTCGGCCGCGGTCCCGTCATCGAGCCGGTTTCAGGACTCGGGACGCTGACTGAAGAGCCGGAGGTCGACAGCCCGCGGTGGAACGACGTGGGAAGAACGCGCCCTTCCGGATGTTGGAATGTACATGTAGCACGGGTGCAAGCAGCGCCGAACTTGCAGGGTACGGCGTTGTGGGTGGCGGTGGGACGGGGATGGGAGAACGAGCACCCAGGACGGGTGCAACCAGCGCCGTATCTGCACGGTACGGCATTTTGGGGTGATGGGGCAGTGATAGGAGGAGGATTGTGGGCTATCGCCTTAGGCGGTTCGGCTGTACCACGAAGAATTAGGCCGATGTCGAAAGCTCGCAAGACGACGATACGCACCATTGGGGTTGAGGACGGCAGGACTGACGTGACCTTTGACGCAGTCCTTATCTTGACAGGCCTTGCCCTTCTCGCAAGGATCGTTGCTGAGAACCACTCCGCTCTCGGCCGTAGCGACAGGGGAAGGATGTGAGTACCGACATATGGGATTCGTACACTTCAAGGCGAACTTGCAAAGCGTAGGGGATTGGGGACGCTCTGGGACAGTGAAGCCGTGACGCGCCGAACCGGTGGAAGAAGATGGAGTGATGGGAGTGGGGGCGGCTACATGCGCGGCGAGCTTTGAGGGTGTTGCGGGAGCTGCAGATACTGGGGCCGGTTGAGAGGGCGAAGGAGCCGGTGCACCGTTTGGGACTGGTGACTCCATGTTCTGGGGACCTCCGCCTGTGTGTCCTCCGCGTCCCCGACCAGCACCCCGCATCGGCCCTCCTCGTCCTCTACCTCGTCCCCGACCGTTCCCCTCTCCCCCGCCCGGACCCATGCCGCCGTTCATTCCATTGAACTGGTTCATATCACCCATACCAGGCTGCATCGGCATACCTCCACCGTTCATGAATTGACCCGTGGGGTTCATGATGCCTATAGCACCGGCGATTTGCGACATCATGGCCATTTGGTTGAGCATCAGCTCCTGCAGCATCATCGGATTGGCCATGCTCATAGCGGCCATGTCCATCCCAGGCATTCCGTTCATTGGGAAGCCACCGTTCATCATCATCATATTGGAGTCCAGAGGGCCACCGTTCGTGATACTGTCGATGCGGGCTTGCACGTCGTCGTGAGGGTTGAAGTGAGGTCCTTGTCCACCCCTCGGGCCCATGCGATCTAGGAGGCTGCGCTGACCACCACCGTGGCCGTGGCCTTCGCGCTCGCGATCACGGAGCATAGCACGGGGGCCGGTGGGAAGATCGGTACGTCTCGACTTCATTGGCGGGTGCCCACCTGGCGACGGCGAACGGGCAGAGGCCGTACGTTTCTGGCTAGTGGGCGAGGTAGTAGGGATAGCCTGCGACAGCGCTTGCTGATAGAGGGGCGCGCCAGTACGTGGACCGTTAGGAGGCCGTCGGTTGTCTGCTGCTTGGTGTGGTGGGGGATCGCGGGCAGGTTGTGACGAGCTTGAGGGCTCGGTTGGTGGGGGAACCTCAGCTTGCGGTGCACCCTTCGCAGCTTCCTCGAATAGCCAGTCGACAAAGCCACTGATGTCTTCAAGGACATAAGGGACATTCATAGTACAGACGTGGATGCGACATACCTCCTTCGTTTCCAACCACTTCACCACGAAGTCATACTTCAGTAAATACACCAACGCGCATAAAGATATGACTCACAGTCTGCCAACTCCGTTCTGATCTGGTCTTAAGAAGTGTCAGCGCAAGAACATGTGAACAGGGCATTAGGCTATGACAGGCGACTCAAACAGCCAGTTGCCCCGCGTTCCATAGACCCTGAACGCGAAGGAACTCACCTGGTGTTTTGTTGTTGATGACCATGATGGTTATGTACTCGGCCATGACAGAGTCTTGCGCGAGATCGGTGAGTATGCTGAACAATCGTCCGAGGGCAGTCCAAACTCACCTGGCTCCGTGCCCAACCCCCGCTTCACGAGCTCGCCCTCTATCATGCTTTGAAGCGCTGTCGCACGTTCCGTGCCCATCGTAAGGCCAAAAGCCATGGTTGCGGAGGCGGAGGAGGAGGCGGAGGAAGAGGATGGGCGTGGTGGTGGTAGGAGGGGAAGGGAATGCACCGACGACAGTAGCTTGTGAGCTTACTTGTTTTGCTGCCGTATTGATCGTTTCTACAGGTTGAACTCGAGTTTAATCCCCGACAAGCAATTATGACTCAGCAGGATCTCCGCCTACCGGACTCACCCTGCATTAGCGCTTCTGGAACTCCTGCTCCGTCGGACTAGATTCTTGTAAGGGTCTATGGCTCTAAGAATATTCTGACATTCGCAGGACTGCTTGAAGACGCGTACTTGAGAAAACGTCCGCCGAAGAACTAGGTATTTATGGTGAGCTACACACTCTGTGCATCGCTCACATCCGTAGCAATCATGGTTGGCGAGT